GTTAAGATCTTGCTCTGCAAAGCTTTTTTTTTTTTTTTTTTTTTTTTTTTTTTTGTGAATTTAGAGTTGCCAACTCTCCCGATTTAGGCGGGAGACTCCCAATTTTCGACCGCTCTCCCACCAACCCGACTTACAATATATTTCTCCCGACTTTTTCTATTCTTAAAATTTCTCACGATTTTTATGAACTTGGCTTACTACTTTGTTATATGAACAAAAAAAAGTGATTTGGGACATCTGAAAGCAATTGAATTTTCTCTAGATTATATCTAAAACAAAACCTTGCGAATTAGATAACTTCTGCTTTGTGAGTGAGAGCATATACATATCCAGAAATGTCGTTCTCCAGTTCTCCAATGGGCTTCGTGCTCCACTGTGTGTCACCTGGTATATATTAACCAATGAGGACAAAGCAAGCTGTTATTTGGATGTTCTTTAGTTATTTCGGTCATTTTGTCCTGAGTTGTGTGAGTACACGTGCCTTCGGAAAATAGTTTTAGAAATTATCATCTTTTCTTATGTCCTGCGAGAAAGGTGAAATACTCGTGTACGTTTCAAAAATCGTACACAGTTGGCTTTCCTTCCATTATTTCCTCAAGGAAATATAATAAATTTGCAATGTGTACCGCCTGTCACTGCGATTTTTCGTTTTTGCATGGTGGAAGGACAGATGTTCTCAAACATGTGTGTACACAAAAACACAAGGACAAAATGAGCTGTTCTGAAAAAAAAATGAAAAATTTAATTTTTATTGGGAAGCAAAGAACCAAAAAGTTATTGATGCAGAATATCTGTTCTCTGCCTTTTTACTGGAGCACAACCTGCCACTGAATGCATCGGATCACGCTGCAGCTTTATTTAGAAAAATGTTTCCTGATAGTGAAATCGCTAAGAAACACTCAAGTGCAAGAACCAAAACAGGTGCAATTGTTAAAGAAATGGATTTGAAAAATAAATCTTCAGTTATTGATTGCATTAAAACAGCTCCATTCTGCCTGTCTACGGATACAATAATACCGATTCAAAACTATATCTGGAATACCGATGGAAGCAATAATACCGATTCAAAACTATATCCAACCAGTGTTTCTTTTTTTAATCCAGAGTCTTCAGAAAATGAGTGCAGTTTACTTTCTGTCCCCACTTTAGAAGGACATTTGACAGCCTTTACTATAGCACAGCTAATTATTAAAACTTTAAAAGAAAATGTAGTCCCTCTGGATAATTGCTTAGCACTTGGTGCCGATAATGCACCAGTATTGGTAGGCTTGAAGACTGGTGTTGCAGGCATCTCAAGAAAGGAAAATTCAGATTTGCAGTTATGAGGTGCACCTGTCACCTCTTAAATTTAGCAGCTGAAAAAGGGGCAGCTTCTTTACCAATAAATGTGGATGAACACATTGTTGATATTTACTATTACCTTGAAAGGAGTTCTAAAAGGAAGGGAAAATTGAAACATTTTTCAACAGCTGCATAACAGCAGTTTACAATTAGAAAACTTTGGATGAAGTTATAAAATCAGCTAGGATTGACACCCAGTGGAGTTTAATTGGAAAACTGAAAGGTGATGATGAAATTTTAAAATATAGTGAACTATCTAGAATTATGTTCGCTCATCTTGACAGTTTCCACATAGTAATGCAGAGTGTGAGAGGATTTTTTAGTGTTGTTGCGAAAACGAGGACTAAATTTAGATCTAATATTAGCGATGACACATTAGAAAAACTTTTACTAGCGAAAGCAGCCCTAAGTGGCAATTGCTATGAACATAATTATGAAGTTTCTTTCTTAATAGAAAGCAAAATCTGCCACTTTTATAACATTTGTATGAAAACTGATTAAAGTGTCTTTTTTTTTTTTTCGTTTCTTAAACGATGCAAAAAAATATAAATGTTTTTTATGTGTAAAATATTTTTGTGTTGCTTGCATTTAAGAATTAGTTACTATTTAAAGTTAATTCATTATTAAAAACTATATTTTCATCATTTAAGAAGTCTTTTTAACATTGCAAAAAATCTCCTGATTTTTGAGTGTCATAAGTAGGCAAGTATGTGAATTACTAAAAGCCACTATAACAGCCTAATCATATAATCTATTAGATTTAATAAATAACACGATTATCAGGTATTCAGGCACAGATGCCTAACATTTTAGAAATGGCTGACTTTCTGAAATGTTCACATTCTGCAGTTACAAAAGTGTATCAATGCTGGAGAAGGTGCATAATTCTGACAATATGGCATCCAATTTGCTGAACTCAAAAATGAATATCCAATGAGATGGTTGGTTAGGATTAATTCAGACAGTTAAAGTTCATTATTTACACTTTTGTTTATTTTCAAATAAACTTAAGACCACCAGAGAGGCTTCAAAACAACTCTATTGTGATTCCTATTAGGTACTTTGCTATAAAGTATATGCCTGGGTGACAGCTCTTATACTGATGGCTATATATTGTAAACAGCGTGAATTTACACTACCGAACTTCGTCAATTGGAGAACAGTCTTACTGACTTATGATTTTTCACTCCATGTTAGAAACATATGACACTGCATTAACAGGTATTCAGGCATAACTATGGAGCATAAGAACGCAAGTAGGGCAACACAGTGATTTTTGGCATGTCTACATAGAATACTTCAAATAGTGATATCTTTACTTAATCTACTAAAAATAGATGTCTGGCTGTCAGTTACCACAAATGAAGAACACTACATGAGATTATGTTCTCAAAAAGAAATGATATCCATTATAATGATAATGCTGCACATTCCTATGTCAGCACTGTCCTCGAATGGTACGGAAAGCAAGATAGATTTTGAACTAATTCCTTGGCTACCAATTCCTAGGATCTAAACTAAACACTCACAGAAAAGCTATTACAATTAATAGATAAAATAAATGGATCATCCATCAAGGAATTTACATGACCACAAAATTTATATGAATTTCAAGATAAGCTAGCCTACACAAAGGAAATCAAACAGTTGTGCCCATAATAATAAAAGGAAAGACAACATCAAATTTATAGCAATGAATGTAAAAGCCATATGCATCAAATGTTTAACAACAATGGCAAATGATTTGTGAGAATTAAGGTACACAGAATATCCCTCAATAGTATTTGCAATAGTCTTAGTATAACTGTCATTCACACTGCTTATTAATCCATAAAAATCTGTGAATTTATATAAGCTGTTTCCATCTACAAGCCAGACTACTACATCTGTCATAATAAGTGCTTTAGTCTAATCTTTTTTAAGATTCAAGACTAAAAAAATTTGAATTTTCACAGCTCGCCTAAAAAAGCCAATATTTTAATTCAAAACTTTGTATACTTTAGTTTTACTGTAATTCAGAAAAACCTTGTGGAAGACCACATGCAATTATCTACCTCATGGCATACCTGAATACAACACAGCAAGTGTTCTTTTAAAAGTCAATTTTTTTCTTTTTTTCAATTTTTTGGACATAATTTAGCATTTCATGTTTAACTGCTAATCTATTTTAACTTCTGAAATAATTTTCCAACTTCTTCACTTAGTTTTATTTCACAACTCCAGAAGACAACAAGAAACTTTCAACTGTTAATCGCCCCCCTCCCCTCTAATTAAACTGAGATAATGAACACAAAGAAAGATCCAAGAATTTTGATCAGTTACTGCATTTATTAAATCTCATTTTGTCTTAAAAATTACAGATATGCTTTTACATAATGCATTCTTAAATTTTTCATTTAATGCAAATCATATCTGACTTTTAATACCAGATGAAAAACTTTTAACATCCGGTGATGCTGTTTGTTGCCTTGCTTATCTTATGTAAGGACTCAAGAGATTCAGAAACATTTTTTGGATTTCGATTAGTGAAAATTTACAGTTGCCTTCCTTAGGGGGGGGAAAGGAAGAAGTAGGGGGAAGGAGCTGGGATTTTTCAGATTATATATTACGCCCAAATGGGGCTTTTTTTTAAATGTTTTGTGGTTACCTTTATTTATTAAATATCATGTTCTTCATACTTAAAGCATAAAATTCAGTTCAACAGCAAAATACTTTTAAAATGAGCATATCTTTAGAATTTCCGATACACAGTCTTACGCACTGGAAATAACCCCCCCCCCCAGTAAATTGTTGCGATTACTCACTTTGAAATTGTTGAGTTTGTTAATCAAAAATTCGTTAAAGTTTTACAAGATATGAAATAATAATAAAACAAATTCCAAATATGGGCTTCCAGTTAAGCACATTCGGGTGGAAACATACATTATTTAAAATATGATGGCTATAGGTACCATTGTTTTATCACAATGTGAGAAACATACATACAGTTATGCAGATTCTTCATTATTTAATTTCTTTAAATATAATACAGGGCTCTATTTGATGGCATTAATTTGAAAATGAACCGACATTTATAGTGAATCAATGCAAAATGCCAAAACGAAATTAATACCCCTTCTGGACCAACACCTTTTGGGCTAATAATAACCAGAACTAAAATACTTTTAATATACTTCAATAAAGTTGATTTTTTTAATTATTTAACTTGACAATATTTCTAACTAAGAATAATGAAAAAAATTATAATATTAATAATATTTCCAGATTTAAATCATCTTACTTATTGAACTTATTTTTTTAAAATAATTAGTCCAGCCAAAAATAACACATTGTTATTTGCTGAAAATAAAAAATAGAATAAATTAAAAATTTAACACACCTAATTATTCAGGAATTTCTTAATGATTAAATAGAGATTAGATTTATGAACAGCACTCAATAAATATAAGTTCATTAGATAAGAAGTTTGACAATGACAAAAAAACAAAGGAACTTATCTCCTTGTATCAATAACTTTGGGGGGTCAAATTGAGCAGTCACAAATTATAATTCAAATTACATTTTAAATATAACTGTTCTTATAATTCATTTTCAAATTATTCATCAAAACATAAACATATGTCATTAATTTTAAGTTTTAATATAATAAATTCCCATACTTCAGTCGTCTGTTCTTGAAAGGCATAAAGAATTCCATCGATAAGTTGCTCTTCCAGCCTAGAATCAATGTCTGCAGCACCTAAGTTAGCCATGATTTTCTCAATTGTTTCCATCACCATTTTACGATACTGTTCATTCTCATCTTTTAGGTCATCAACAATTCGATGTATGATTTCCGCTGCTCCCACTTTGTTTGCGATTTCTACAGTGGTATCAACAAGCTAGAAGAAAAATAAAAAGATGAACAATAACATAGGGCATTCGTGGATAGGAAACTAAACAAATATTAATGGTTTGTTAAATATAACTCTTTAGGAATATTTCACAACCGTAATTAAATAAATGATTATTTACGTAGGGTGAAAGAAGTTTCTGTCAAGCAAATATTGAAGAATTGTTTGATTGAAAACAGAATTTTCTTATATTTTTAAAGTGAGGGGATAAAGTGCTTTTAATCAATACACTGGCAGCTTTTTAATACCCATTAACCCTCCAACTAGCGAAGGGTCTAAATTTCGCAAAACTCCCACGAAAAAGTTTTTTTTATTTAATTTAATTTTATTTTAATACTAAAATGCCCCTCATACTATATGCTTCAATTTCTTTACTTTTATTATCTTGCCTATACCTTGAACAGACTTCAAATACATTTTAGAGACATCATAAAATATAGTCTAGGACGCATATATAAGGCCATCGCAGGGTTAAAAAAAAATTATTGTTAGTAATTGATCAGACTGGAAATTCTCTAATTAAATTCGCCTTAATGACAGACAAACTTTGGCTGCATTTAAAATTTGGCATAAGCATCACTAATGTTGTAAGTGCTATGAATCACAGTTAGTGGCAAAAAATCTGGGGATTCGTGATATAAACCACAGTTAAACACAAAATGATAACTTAATACATATTTGGTCTCAACCAATTTTTCAACAAATTCTAAGAGCTAGTAAACACATTTAATTGGTAAATTTTAAATTTCTAGCTCCTTCCCCTTCCCAACAGTCATTTCGATGCAAAAAGTCTTTTTATCACAGAGTTGTATATTTTAACACAATAAAAAATTTTAATCGATTCTCAGTCGAGCACAAACATAAGCTAAATAAAACAGGATCCCCCCCCCCCCCCCCGAGACTAATATGGATGCCAAACAAAAGTGGTTCTCAGACATTCAAAACATCACAAATTTCATTGTGGTTGTTCAGTTTTCCTCTTCTTTTTACTAATGTCGGCACAAAGCCACAATCTGTTTGCAGAGTTGGAACATTCAAGCCAAATGCTTATATCAATGGTCTGCAGATATCTGTAGATTCATGAGTTATTTTTCTAACCTAAATTTTATTCAATCTCATTGTAAAAAAATATTTCATTCATTATTTAATTTTATCATAAAAATGTAAAATTAGTGATTAGATATCTTGAAAAATGCATATCTTCTGATAGAGATTTTTTAATTCTTTTAGAACTAAAGCTCCATATTACATTTCTGATGGCACAGCAAGGTCATGTTCCTTTGCCATACATTTGCCACCTGTGAGAGTTATGCTGTAATGTGAAGGCCTCATGCATAAGAAGTTAAAAATTAACTACTTAATAAGAGAAACAGACTATTTTAAATATGCTTTTTTCATTTGAATGGATTCAAAACTGATTAAAGGAGGACCTTCTGAATGAGGCTAATACACTGAAGAAAGTAGAAAATTTACTGTACACAAATACAATACACTGAAGAAAGTAGAAAATTCACTGTTGAAGTAAGACCCTTTAATACATGGTTTAAAAGGAACAGAAGAACATATTATTACTTGTCTGTAGTTCCTTCGATCAAGTGCCATTCTGTGGTTCCAGAAATGTTTGAAAAAATGCGGTAACACATCTTCTTTAATATACTGTGGCTCCACACCATCAGTTGCACAGCACTGCTTTACTACCTAATCACATATAAATAAATATTAGAAAACGATGATAGTTAACATTTTTTTTTTTTTTTTATCTGAAAATGTCACTCTGTGAAAATGATAATTATTCTATTTCGCAAAATAATTAACATTTTCATCGATACATGTGCACACATTAACCACATACTACAGTAAACTTTTAACAGAATTGTCTGTTAAAAGTTATAATAATATAAGAAATTTCAAATTAAAACAAATATATAATTTCATATATATAATTTCAAATTAAAACAAATATATAATTTCATATATATAATTTCAAATTAAAACAAAAATATCTCACAATAATATAAGAAATTTCAAATTAAAACAAAAGCACAATATAATTTTAAAAAAGTGATTAGTTATTTTTTTAAACACCAAAAAAAATTGATGCAAACTGTGTTTTTACGTTCTTAAGTTTTCAAATTACAGAAAATGACTTTTTACTAAAAAACACATACTTCTTTGTTATAGCAACCACCAAACATATCTGGCGATTTTACAGTTGAGTCTAACAGGTAATAAAACAAATTCCAAATTTGGCTTTCCAGAGATCCATATTCAGGTAGAAACGTACGTTATTAAAAATTTGATGGTTCTAGGTATCGTTTTATCACAATGCGAAAAACATTCATGCATTAATGTAGATCCTTCATTATTTAATTTCTTTAAATATATAACAGGGCTCTTACGAGTGAATCAATGCAAAATGCCAAAAGAACATTAATAGTCCTTCTGGGAAAATTGCCCCTTTGGACTAATAAACAATATGAATTCGAAAACCTCACAATAATATAATACTCAGCGAGAGCAAAAAATGCAACATGGTACTAACATACTGTTACGAAATGCACAGGTGCGATGGGATAGCTTCCCCGCAAAGCAGTTTTAGGGTTGCCGTTTGGCAAGAAATTGCCCGTTTGGCGACAAAACTGGCGATATGCCATGGACAGATGAAGAACCTTCTGGAATGAATTCTTACCGGTTTAGCCCAGAATGTTCTCGAACATAAGCCAAAAGCTATATAAACCTTGCTGTTCGCAGTAAGTTAGAGAGTGCCTCGTCTAGAGTGCGAGATAGTTAGTCTCAAGTTAGTCAGTCCGTGCGGAGTCGATCGAGTTGACAGCCGAGCAGCGAGTGCCGAGTGGGTCAAATGTATTGAAGAGTCTCTTAGTGTATCGTGGTTAGTGCATCGTCAAGAGAGTGTGTTGAGCTCCAGAAACGACTGAACCGAAGAGTTGGGAGCTGTGCTCTGTGTGTCGCCGAGTGCATCGCGAGTTGTAGCGTGGAGAGTATGAGGAGTTCTGAGAACGACCGAGCAGTCGAGAACTGTACTCTGGTGCTTTCCAGTGAAGCTGCCTTGACCATTATAGTTTGATAGTGTGAACGCTGTGTCGCTGAGTTCCAGCGTGTTTATAGTAAATCTTCGAAGACTGTAAAAGTGTTTTGGAGCTGTCCTGATTAATAGTAAATCTTCGAAGACTGTAAAAGTGTTTTGGAGCTGTCCTGATTAATACTGGTAAATAAAGTGTGTTTTGATTCTTCATCAAGTGCTGTTGTTACTCACTCCCATACAAACTGGTGTCAGGGAAAAAAAAAAAAAAAAAAACATAACACCACAATTACGTGGCAAGATATAAGAACTTTCAGCCACAACTATTATACGATCATGGGGCAAGGTAAGAACATGCAGGCAGATTTTGGCGAGGTATCTCGGTTGATTGGTGATTCAATTTGAGAGCTGCTATAACAAAGAAATACCAAAAAATGTAATGAAATAAAAGTTACATCAAAGAAGACTAAAAATATCACCTGCATTTAGCATTTATGAAAATAAAGCTCAATAAGTTTCTTAAGAGATACAAAAAATGCTTTCTCAGAACTGCTTTCAGCTAAATTTAAGCCCAAACAATTACAATGGTTCAAATATAAGTTTCAGAAAGTCTCATATAATATTCTTTCAATCATTTAATAAAAATTAAATTCATGTCAATTTTTAGATGTAACTATTCTATATAAAGCATTATATTAATTCTAAAACATTTAATTTTTTACTTAAAGCATAAATCTACTCCTTGAAACTTTGAAATTAAACATAACTTCTAAAATTCTGAAACAAAACTGTATGACAAAATGCTACAAAAATTACCTTCAACACAATTTTTTTCATTTCTTCATCTGGGGACTGAAATTCTCGAATAAGAATAAGCATCACTTCTCTGGTATAATAATTTGCATATTCAGCATCCATTAGAGGAATAAGATAACCAATAGCTTTCAAAAAGGCAGCCAAACCCTTAAAGAGAAAACAGCTTATAATGCATACAGCAAATAAAATTACAAAATTTTTTATAATCTACACTTTCAAACACTAAGAATAAATTATGTTACATGAAATAAAATAATTGATTCAAGACAACTTAACATTATTGGCTTAATATAACTGTACACATAGAACACTTAATGGTTGTGAAAAATTCATTGTGAGGTGAGTTCTGGACATATTTAACACAGACTTGATGTGGACATTTTCATATAGCATACATATGAAAAGGACAAACCCTTTATTATAATGCAAACAAGATAAACAGATATAATTTATGTAAAGCTAGTAACATAACATTCTGCTGCCATACAGCATGTAACGTATATTATTGTGACATTCACTTCTTGTTCTATAACCTCAACTCTGCGTCATATGACAGAAAAGCAAAAACGTGCATCGTTCGGCTAAAATGTGCACGTGTGGTGTTCATAAAATCATGACAACTGCACTCATCCATCTATGACTCACAAGGGGATGTTTTAAAGTTACATTCATATTAATTGAAAGGATAAAATTTATGTTCAAGAGGTATTACAGATTTTGTTTCCAAAAAAGGAAAAGAAAAGGTGAAAAAGAGGAATAATTTGGATTTTAAGCTAGAAGCTGGCAAACTACTACTCAGACTACCCATTACAGAGTAGTCTGGCTGGATAAACTGCCACCCTGGACAGACATATGAATTGTATCACAAAAATGTTTCATCTGTGTCATCTATAATTGAAAACCAGTAATCTATAATCCACCTTCTTTCTATGGATTAAATGTAAAACTCTGAATAAAATTCGCATTAGGCATGAATGCTGTAACTGTCCAGACTGCAATTTCACAGAAATCTTCTGTTATCGGGACTGGATTCAGAAATAAATACATGCGAGTACATCTGTGTGTATACAAACACATATCTACGTATGTACACTGTGAAAAAAAAGGGGGACAGTTTTATATCTCCCGTTCTACTGGGCCGATTAACGAAATTCAAATTGCTTTCTTCATTCTTTTCTTGAAAACGTGACTTAGGATATATATTAGATTTATATATAGCACTATTTCTAACATAGATATTTTGACACAAAATCAGACTTTTTCTGAAACAACATGCTAAATCTTTTACATATTTCGATTCTACGACTCAAATTATGCCGAAGTATTAAATTTTGTAAAATTTCGTGTGAAATTTATGGAGAAATTCAACAATACAGTCAAAAGTCTTTAATCCAGACTCGTCGGGACTTCGGCGATTTCGGATTATCAGTTTTTCCGGATTATAGATCATCAGTTTAGATCTGGTAAGATGGCATGCAGAAATTATAAAACTAAAATATGAACCTGTAATTTATAAATAAAGAGCAATTATGATCAAAGGTATCAAATTTAACAAAAAAAAAAAAGCTTTAATATTTATTTGTTTACGTTATTAAACATTTCTTTTAAATGCGCATGTAAAGCATACATACACATATAGTCGAAATTAGAAAATGCAACCAGAAAACTATTTGATGTCTATTCATGATATTTTTAATGATGAGAATTTGATTTTAAATTATATCAAAGACGAAGTACGCGAATGACATACTACACTTAGTAAGAATTATAAGCCGAATAAAAAAAAAACATCTGCCCTAAGATAAGGATAGTGCTGACAGATCACTTCAGTTCATTGCATGCACATTCAATGATATTTTTAAAATCTTAAGTCCTGTTTCCAACATCGAGCCACCTAAGTTTAAGTCTCCCTCTTTTCGGGTGCCGAATGGTCTGACCGAGAAGACCTTTTTAGTTACTCGATTTTCATCCATTTTGCACAGGTGTCTTGCCTATTTAATTTTCTGAATCCTTATATATTTTACTATATCTATTTATTTAAAATTTATTAGAGTTCAGAGTTAGTTCTTCTTCTCCAGATATTGTTACATTTTATGCCACCAAAAATACTTCTCAAAATTTTTCTTTCAAAGACAGAAATGATACTTTTAGCTTTTTCTGTCATAATTTCTGTTTCAGGTCTCAGCAGAGTATGTAAGAATGGGTCTGATTAAATTTTGTAAATTAAAATCTTCGTTTTTCTGCTAGTGAAGTTAGACTTCAAGTATTTTTTTGAGACTGAAAAAACATCAGTTAGCATCTGTGATTTTAAATATATTTATTAAAATAAATTTTCCAGAATTTGAATTGTGTTTCTTTCGGAAGAATACTTTGTGACCCGACTACGATGGCATGGAAACTGATATAAAAAAGAGAAAACAGTAAGCACAGTTTACCACGCCTTTAATATTCCATTCAGAAAGATATATAAATAAGAGAGATGTATAACCAACATTTTAACTTAGGATGACTTGCATGCACAGCTTTAAACAGTTTTATCACTGTGCCCATTGCTTTACACAATTTTATCATCCTACATTTAATTTCTTAAAATGTTATTCATATTTTAGTCAAATATTTTATTTTTGAAATCACAAGAATGAAATATTGTAAGATTAAAAAAGTTTTAAATATTAAAATAAATGCTAAATTTTATGAAAAAAAATTATTTTTTCTTCTTAATGGCTTGTTCTTATTCTTCATGCATTCTGCAAGTATATTAAAAAGCATCCAACTTTTCGAAACATCTTGCAGGGTTCGTACATATTTCTGCACAAAGAAATTAAGGACTTTCAAGGATCATTAATAAAAAAAAAATTAAGGACCTATTATAAGGTATTTCTCCTGCCTTCGTAGTGTAGTGGTCTGCATGCTGGGTGCACATTCCAGAGGTCCGTAGTTTGATTCCCGGCGAGAGCGTTGCTCATTTTTTATCACTCCTGCCTTAAAAATATCTTAATCTTTCTGCACTATGAGCAAATGGGAACTGAATAAATTCAATTAAAAATATTATCTATGCCTGAATTTCACTTTTGTAATACCATCCTAAAAATAAATAGACCTGTAAGTATCCATTATTATTAAACATAATTAACATTATTATTAATAAGTTTGAGAATAAAATTAACTTTATGAAATTTACCAAGTATCATTAAATATTTTACACTTATAATAATTCGACACATTTGAAAGAAGAATAGTGACATTTTATTTACGTTTTACTAACAGTTAGCTTTATGTTGATTTTTTTGTCTCATTTTGTCATGCTCACTCCAGAGGTTTAGTAGTAAGCAGATTCTATGTCAAGTATCATAGGTTAAAATGAGAAGTAAAATCATAATCAACATGATTCATAACAAAAGACTGGCTGTTATCCCCGTTGCCTAGAGAGAGAGACCCGCTGATCAGAACAAACCTGAAAGGCCTGATGTAAGCAAAGTTGGCAAGTTCTGAAAGTTAGCTGGGCTCTGTCTAATGCAGTTAGTGTCGTAGCTTTGTGTAGAGTTCCAGGAGTTGTGACTCAGTTAATATACTTTAAGGTTCTAATAAGCCACTAAAGCCCCAGAGGTGATAAGTTGTTTTTCATTATTTTAAGTCTCACTAGATGCGAATAATACGTTTTACATGAATTTTTACATTTTTATATTTTATCTTGTGACTATGGTAAGGGTTAATGAAAGAAAGTAACTCGCTTTAACATGCAGAGATAATTTTTAAGGGTGTAAGCAGTTAATTATAAGTAATTAAATTACCGTAATTTCTGGAAGAAACGCCGCGGCGTTTACGTGTTTAAAACCTAAATTTTCCGCGGGTGCGGCGTTTAGGTGCACTAAAAATAAAATATTTCCTATGATTGGTCATTGTACACAGTTGGATGCCTTGTCATTGTGCATAGACTGGTGCTGTTTCCCACAGAAAAAGCCATTCAGTTGCTTTTTGCGAGCGTATTTTGTTTACTTGAATGGACCTAATGCCTTATTCACCCTAAAGATCTCAGAACAATAACATCTTCCCCCTTTCAAATCAACATCTCATCAATTCGAATAGTCTCTCTCCTCTACCATTCGATGATCTTCCAGACCCATCCCCTCCCCCCCCTGCCTTTTCTGCAAATTTTTTTCAAGGCGGACACGACTCCACCTGCCTCGCAAAACGAACTCTCCCTTCACATGAAGGATTTTCTTTGCATTCTGCGATTACGATCCCATCAGTTAGTACAAGTTTGTGGGATAGTTTAAGTAGAAGAGAGCGGAGATTTTTGAAAATGTCCCTAAACGGCACAGAAGGTATACTGCTGGTTTTAACTAATGTAATTTCATGTGCTGAACAAATTGGAAATCGAGCAGGAGCTCGAGAGTTTGAAGTGGACGAGAGATATATTCGACGTTGGAGAACTGAGAAAGAACTTCTTAAAAATGTGCCACAACAGAAACGGGCCAAAAGAAGTGGTACTGTAAGGTGGCCGAATCTAGAGGATGACCTTGTGAACTGGATAAAGGAGCAACGAGGAAAGAGAATGGCAAAATCGACTGTAAAAATTCGCTTACAAGCCAAATTTATAGCAAAAAAAATGAACATAAATGATTTCAAAGGAGGGCCTTGGTGGTGTAGCAGATTTATGAAAAGAAAAAATATTTCTGTGCTACTAGAACACATCGGCAAACAATTACCTGGACAGGCAGTATAAAAAGTCATCGTTCTAAAATATGTGAAGCATTGACAAAAAAAAAAACTTCTTCGGTCGCAGAAATAAATATGGATGAAACGCCCTTACTTCGACTCTCCTGAAACAGAATGTTGATGAAACTGGTGCAAAAACTGTTCTATGTTTATGACGGGGCATGAAAGAACGTCATTTACATGTGTGTTAGCTTGTGCCGCAAATGGTGACAAGCTAAAGCCAATGATCATTTTTTAAACGAAAGACTATTCTGAAGGGAGATGGTATGTCATATATCAGGATTTTGGTTGAGTTTTTGCATCTATACGGGCCACGACGATGTCACGTGCAATTTAATCTATTGCGGCGTTTACGCTGATGCAGCACTTCTGTGTAATTTAAATTTTTTCCCCGCCATTTTTCTCGAGTGCGGCGTTACCTGGCGGCTTTTCCGGAATTATGGGA